AAAAAAAAAAAAAAATACCTCTTTAGCCAGGCATGGTGGCTCATACCTGTAATCCCAGCACTTTGGGAGGCAGAGGAGAGAGGATTGCCTGAGCTCAGGGGTTCGAGACCAGCCTGGGCAACATGGCCAGACCTCATCTCTACAATAAATTTTTAAAAAAAATCAACCAGGCATGGTGGCACATACCTGTTGTTTCAGTTACTCGGAAGGCTGAGGTGGAAAGTTCACCTGAGCCCAGCAGGTTGAAGCTGTAGGGGGCCATGAGTGTGCCACTGCACTCCAGCCTGGGCAGCAGAGTGGGACTCTGACTCAAAAATTAAAACAAGATAAAATGTATCCAAATAACATATAAATATCATAGCAATTTGATATGTAAAATATTCATTTAAAAACACACACAAGTGGCCGAGTGCGATGACCCATCCTATAATCCCAGCACTTTGGGAGACCGAGGCAAGAGGAGTGCCTGAGCCTGGGGGTTCGAGACCAGCCTGGACAACTTGGTGAGACCTCGTCTCTACAATAAGTCACAAAATCTAGCTGGGTGTGGTGGCTTGCGTGTATAGTTCCAGCTACTTGGAAGGCCAAGCGGAAGGATCGCCTAAGCCCAGCAGGTCGAGGCTGCGGTGGCCGTGAGCATGCCACTGCACTCCAGCCTGAGTGACAAGAGTGAGACTCCAACTCAAAAAAAAACAAAACAAACAAGAAAACCCCTCACTTGTGTGAGATGGATGGGGTGAATCTGGCTCTAGTGGCAGAGCTGCTAGGCTGCTAGCCTACTTCCCAGGCTCTCTTACCCCCACCCCCTAAGAAAAACCAACACATGGATTGTTTCAGTTTTTTTTAATACAGTAGTAGTCTCTTCTTATTTACAGTTTTACCTTCCATGATTTCAGTTCCCCATAGATACTTGTGGCTCAAAATATTAAATGGAAAAGCCTAAAAATAAACAGTTTTTAAAAAAAGTTCTTACGTTTTTAAATTGCATACCATTCTCAGTAGTCTTCCTTTTTGTTCAACATATCTACAGTATATGTGCTACCTGCCCAGTAGTCACTTAGTAGGTGTCTTAGTTATCAGATTTTAAAACTTAGTATATGTCACCAGACGTAGTGGCTTACAACTGTAATCCCAGCACTTTGGGAGGCAGAGGCAAGAGGATTGCCTGAAACAGCCTAGGCAACTTAGCAAGACCTCATCTCTACAATTAAAAAAACAAAAAACTAGATGTGGTAGTGCGCTACTCCTGGTTCCAGCTACTTGGAAGGCTGAGGTAGAATTGTCTGAGCCCAACGGGTCAAGGCCACAGTGGCCGTGAACCTGCCACTGAACTCCAGCCTGAGCAATAGAGTGAGACTCCAACTCAAAAAAAAAATAAAATAAAATAAAATAAAATATATATAGTATATATAGGGTTTGGTACTATCCATGGTTGCAGGCATTTACAGAGGGTCTTAGAACGTATCCCCTGAAGATAAGGGGGGAGTGCTACAGTCATAAATCTCATATCATTTTTATAATTTTCCTTTTTTATTTTATTTATTTTTTTTTTGAGGCAGAGTCTCACTCTGTTGCTCAGGCTGGAGTGCAGTGGCACATTCTTGGCTTACTGCAGCCTCAACCTCTTGGGCTCAGGTGATCCTTCGCCTCAGCCTCCCGAGTAACTGAGACTACAGGTGGCACCACACCCAGCTAATTTTTAAAAAAATTTTTTTATAGAGACAAGGTCTCACTAAGTTGCCCAGGCTGATCTCTAACTCCTGAACTCAAGCGATCCTCTCACCTCAGCTTCCCAAAGTGTTGGGATTACAGGTGTAAGCCACTGCCCCCAGTTCTTATAGCCTTCCTTTTTCCTTCTTGGTCTTGGGCTTCTATTCCATTTCTCTACAGATTTGTATTCTATATAAAATAATTTTATAATTAAAAATCTCTTTATGGATCATCCTGTCATATTTCTCTATAAAATATGTGTGTATGGCTCAGCCTGTAATCCCGCACCTTTGGGAGGCTGAGGTGAGTGGATTGCCTGAGCC